CAAGGTTAAAAATACTGCTCGTCTAGTTATTTTTATTGGTACAAAACGAGTGTTTTGTACGAAGATAAGGATATGATAGGTATAAAGATAGTGATATGAATAGTTGAGAGCTTCAGCTTTAAATTAGAGTAGAACAAATTTTATGTACAGCACGCAATCGATGATCGAAGCCATAGTAACCGTGATAGTGTCAGACAAAACATGCAGCACCTAGAGCAAACTGGGAGACTATTTTCCCTCTAGAATCTTTGCATTTTATAGGAATATTACTAATATAATTATCAAGGCGTTAAAACAATAATTCTAACAGTCCCTTATTTCAAATTCTCTTATTTCAAATTATAAAATTTATTAAGATGTTTTTCTTCAAATTTATATTCATTTTTATTTAAATAAAGAATGTACATATTAATTATTATTGTTCTGTTTACTTTTCTATTTTAATTTGAATTCAACCTCATTCTTCAAAACAGATAAATATTGTTTAATTCTCCGTGAAAAAAAAATTGAAACGATGGTGGGTTTAACGGAACCAAAGAGCTTCTGAAACTCGACCAACTAAGAAACATAATTCAGAAAAATTCTCACATTTCAAGAGTAAGTTCAATACCGAGGAAACGTAGAAACCAACGGAACGCTATGGTTACTCTGTATCAGTTAACCGACGTGAAACTTAGTAACGCGAGTTAATATTAAACCATGTAAATAGAGGATCTTCGACGATACAGCGCATGAAACAAGAGGAACGTTCAACTTCGTGCCGCAACACGTCGCACGGTGATTACAAAAGTTCACCGTGTAATTAAATATTCTTGAACTTCGAACGAACTTTCGATCGGGGTGAATCTGAACCTACAGAATTTGTTTTATCGCCGAAGCCTCAGATATAACGTACTTAATCAAACAATAGATGTAACAGAAGTCTTCTGTGAAATACGACACGAGAGTATGGGAAGTTATGTAGCGTGTTGTTATAAAGCGTGAGGAAATATGATACGTGAATACAAGGCTTAAGAGGCTGTACCATCAAAAAGGACAGAAATATAATATTGGTTGATGAAATACATTGTGATAAACAATAAATGTAACAGAAGTCTTCTGTGAAATACGACACGAGAGTATGGGAAGTTATGTAGCGTGTTGTTATAAAGCATAAGGAAATATGATACGTGAATACAAGGCTTAAGAGACTGTACCATCAAAAAGGACAGAAATATAATATAGGCTGATAAAATACATTGTGATAAACAATAAATGTAACAGAAGTCTTCTGTGAAATACGATACTATAGAGTGTGGGAAGTTATATAGCGTGTTGTTATAAAACGTGTACCCACACGATGTGCAGCGCGTTAGATAATTATCGTTTCAATAAATCTTCCCAGTTAGGATATCAGAAAGCGTATTAATTATATTCGTAGGCTATCTCCGAAGATTCCACGGATGAATGGAACCGGCGAAACGATTGGACTAGGAACGATATCGAAAATCCAGCAGGCCTGGCGGCTTTACAGGATCAGACAAAGAGCCTTGTCCGCCCGTTCCGGTAACCAACTTAACCGGAAACTTCGAATCAAAGCAAACACAGCGAAAGTGCCCGCAGGGGTCAATTCGCCGGTTCATCGTGAAACTCGATTTACCACCACCACTAGCCCTGTGCCACCACTACCGACGTACATCGACGGTGGTGGTATCAGTGAAGGGTGTGCTTTGATGCACATACCAGGCCTGGGTCTATTGTCGTGTTGCAACAATGCTCACCGTCTGTTTGCGTGTAATTGGGAAGCTTGGCCCCGCGAGCAAGACAACGTGATAATAACACGAGTTTCCTCGATCATTGTAGAATTATCATACGGAACTCGATGCAGTGATTTTACGTCTACTAGGAAATTTCACTTTGACGTCTGACGCGTACGTCGTTCAGAATTTTAACCTTGTCCTACAATGTTGTAACGCACTCGTAATACACATCACAACTCAAATACAACATAGTAAATTATATTTGCCTTGCAATTGTGTGGTCAGATCATCTACAATGATAAAACAGTCAGGAAACTTGAAATGTTACGTCAAATTATAATTGGAGCTTCAAACTGAAAGCGTATTTAAAATTTGAGTAAAACTGATCACGACGTACAGGTGCGTTATGAGTGCGTCATGTGTGTCAGGAGTGCGTCTTTTGCGTCATGAGTGCATCATATGTGTCATGAGTGCATCACATGTGTCATGAGTACATCCTGTGTGTCATGAGTACATCCTGTGTGTCATGAGTGCGTCATGTGAGTCAGGAGTGCATCTTGTGCGTCACGAGTGCGTCATATGCGTCATGAGTACATCCTGTGTGTCATGAATGCGTCACGTGAGTCAGGAGTGCATCTTGTGCGTCACTAGTGCGTCATATGCGTCATGAGTGCATCTTGTGTGTCATGAGTGCGTCATCTGTGTCAGGAGTGCACCTTGTGCGTTACGAGTGCGTCATGTGTGTCATGAGTACATCCTGTGTGTCATGAGTGCGTCATGTGAGTCAGGAGTGCGTCTTGTGCGTCACGAGTGCGTCATGAGTAGATCCTGTGTGTCATGAGTGCGTCATCTGTGTCAGGAGTGCATCTTGTGCGTCACGAGTGCGTCATGTGTGCATCTTGTGTGTCATGAGTGCGTCACGAATGTGTAATGAGTAAGTCACGAGTGCGTTATGAGTGCGTCATATGTGTTACGAGTACGTCATATATGTGAAAAATGCGTCATGAGTGTGTCATGAGTGCGACACGGATATCTAATGAGTGAGTCACGAGTACGTCATATGTGTAACGAGTACGTCGTATATGTGAAAAATGAGTCATGAGTGTGTCATGAGTGCGACACGGACATCTAATGAGTGAGTCACGAGTGCGTCATATGTGTTACGAATACGTCATATATGTGAAAAGTGCGTCATGAGTGTTTCATGAGTGCGTCACGAATATCTAAAGAGTGAGTCACGAGTGCGTCATATGTGTAACGAGTACGTCATATATGTGAAAAGTGCGTCATGAGTGTGTCATGAGTGCGTCACGAGTCAGTCTCGTCAGAAGGGTACAAAAAGTCAACTAAAGTTCCCATCTTAAAAGATAAAGTACAGTTTCCACCCATTTACAATACAACCCAACACCAAAGTCCCAAAACTTGAAATCTCAAAAGAACAATTATAAATTTCGAAGAAATTAAAGAATTTAGCAGCCACGGAAAACAAAAAAGCTTATCAATGAAGAGTCAGAAAATTTTCAACTATAACCGCAGTACGTAGATCCATAGGTCCTTCGTAACGAAAGGATTAACCGGAAATCGAATCTCGTTAGCCGCTTCTTCGCACAAAGACCTCGCGTTTATCGTGGCTTACGCCTCGTACACCATATTTCCACCACTAATGCGTATGTAATTTGCACACAGAAGGGGGAGGCAAGGGGTTCGGATGGATGGTAAATCTCTTCATCAAGCTGAATGCGGCGGACCAACGTGCATCGATGCATTACTTTAATCCTCCCTGGTATAAACAAACCGAGCTGGCATTATCGTATACCTGTTGTACCGGATCGTTCACTAACACGTGTCTCGTTGTTGAAAGCTGGCGCGTTTACATGCATTAAATATACTCGTTGCATTTAATTTACTGGCTTTTATTAAAAATACTCGAGGAACGTCCGTCGAGAGAAATGTACTTGATGCATATGAAATATCGCGTTCCGAAAATAGAAAATCAGACGTCTGATCGGGATTGATATTGGAGGCTGGTTTAGGGGATGTATAGGGAATTTGAGATCTGGGGATTTCGGTGAGGGAGGTAATGGAAATTTGAGAATTTGGGGTTTGAGAATTTGGGGACTTTAGAATTTGGGGATTTTAGAATTTGGGGACTTTAGAATTTGGGAACTTGAGAATTTGGGGATTTGAGGATTTGGGGATTTTAGAATTTTGGGACTTGAAAATTTGGGATCTTGAGAATTTGGAGACTTGAGAAGTTGGAGACTTGAGAATTTAGGGATTTGAGAAGTTGGGGACTTGAGAATTTGGGGATTTGAGAATTTGGGGACTTGAGAATTTGGGGATTTGAGAATTTGGGGATTTTAGAATTTTGGGACTTGAAAATTTGGGGTCTTGAGAATTTGGAGACTTGAGAAGTTGGGGACTTTAGAATTTGGGGACTTCAGAATTTGGGGACTTGAGGATTTGTGAATTTTAGAATTTTGGGACTTGAAAATTCAGTGATTTCACAATTTTAAGACTTGAGACTTTGGGGATGACAATTCGGGATTTTGAGAGTCCAAGAATTTGACAAATTGGGGAATTAAAAATTTTAAGAACTGGACTTATAAATCTAGGACTTGCTAATTTAAGACTTCAGATTTTGGTAAATCGAGAATCAAGGAATTGTAGGCGATCAGATACGAGTTAAGAGGGATGTTTAAAGAGGGGTGGTTGTATCGAACGAATACCAGTTCCGTGCAGAGGGAGGATATTAATGGATAACGATGCCTAAACAGGCGTTTCGATGATTCGATTGTTTCTGTTATTGCGTACTCGTCGAACCGCGTCCTAGTCGCAAAGTGGACGCAAACTCGAATTCCTAGCGTGGATCAAAGCATTTTTGCGATTCAGATAGCTGAAAGCAACATGGGGAATCTCGTTTGACCAAATCGGACGGAACAATTGCTCCTGATTTGATACAGTTCATTAGCTCACTCATTTCGCTATAGTGAATTATCAATAAGTAACAGTTTAGATCGATCGAAGTATGCAATTACTAAATTTCAATTTACTTTCGGCAGAAAATTAATTATTCGCACCATGCGATGTGCAATATATCACGTCATTAATACGATTCCAATCGAAATGTTTCGTTATCAATTAACGATTTGATTCAACCGATGTATAATCATAAGTATTCCATGATTAAATGGGCAGATGATTAATTAACAAAATTCGAATACAGTTTTCAATTAATTAAACAAGTTATACAAGACTTACCTGATTCTTGCCTTTGAGAACGAGGACATTGGTGACGCGACCGAAGGGTACACCAAGGTGGATGATTTCACCCTCTGACACCTCATTTGGGATATTTCTGATGTGAATAACCCTTGAAGGTTTGCCGTTGTGGCTTTTGTCCAATTTAACCTAAAACAAAAAATAATTTCTTGATTAATTATTTGCACAAATTAATTTAGACTTGTTTATTTCAATATTATCACTGATACCGTATATTACTGTTAAATATTCTATTGTACTGGATCTTTACACGCGGTTGTAACCGCTGTTTACACAATATGTGGTGATGTAATGGGTCATAATGTACGTGGTAATTCGGTGGGCGGCCATTCCGCGCGTTGTAATTCCATGCATGCTAATGTAATAGCTGAGGATACATCGTGCGGTTATTTGATACGTGGTAATTTGACACGTTGGAATTCCATAGGTGGTTACTCGTCACATGGTAATTCGATATGTGGTATTCTAGCGCGTGGTAACTCGATACGTGGTACTCTGCCGCATAGGTAACTCGATACGTCGTATTCGGAACCGTGGTAATTCGATACGTGGTATTCGGACGCGTGGTAATTCAATATGTGGTATTCGGACACATGGTAATTCGATACGTGGTATTCGGACGCGTGGTAATTCAATATGTGGTGTTCGGACGCGTGGTGATTCGATACGTGGTTATTCGGACGCGTAGTAATTCGACGCGTGGTAATTCAATGCGTGGTAATTCGACGCTTGGTAATTCGGCGCGTGGGTATTCGACGCGTGGTAATTTGATGCTTGGGTACTCAACGCGTGGTAATTCGATATGTAGTGATTCGACGCGTAGTAATTGGACGCGTGGTAATTCGATGCGTGATAATTCGACGCGTGCTAAATCGGCGCGTGGGTATT